TTTAAATCTGCTCATTATTCTTTTATATTATTTTTAGGTTTCCACATCAAAGTCAAAGTGGAATAAATTCGTCCATTTTTAACTCTCGCGTGCCCAGCATTTATGAACGACGCTTATTTTTATTTAAATAAATATATTTGTAATTTAATTATTTTATTAATAAGTTTTGTTAAACATACATTTAGTATGTTTTTTCTATATTTGACATTGATACCTTTTAAAATATTCAGATAAAATATCATTAACATGTAATTTTGATATAATATTAAGTAATATTATATTAAATAAGCAAATATAATATACGAAATAAATGACAAGATTTGAAAATTATTCTCGATATAATTTACCTATTTAACAATACAGTCTATTATTACCTACTGATCATTCTACCTATGTTTATTCTGTGATAAAAAACAACCGCGCGAACACAGAGTAGCGCACATGTTTTGTTTGTAATAGCTGTTCTAGTGCGTAAGTACCTATCACTTCAGTGGTGAATTTAGTTAAATTTACCCTCTGATTTATATCCCTCTGATTTATATTTTGATACGTAAGTACATATTAGTTCAATGTCCTGCGCCCATCCTCTCCACGGTTGTGTCAGCTTGCCGTCCTATCGGAAAATAAGAGTGAGGGAATAGAGAGTGAACTTGTGATTGCGCATACATTTCGGTTATATAATACTCGTCTCCGTTGAGACTGGCCGACGTGACTGAAATTCATTCTCAAGGACCAGTCATCTTAACTAAACCTTTAAAAGATACTTTTGGACTTGGTCTTCCCCAGTTGTAGAGACCATTTTCTATAATCGTCACATTTGGCAAAAGGATAAGCATATTATCAGTCGTCTCGCACTTTCAAAACTACCCCTGACGGAGGAGGGGTTAGACTTTACATCTGAGGACGTACAATTAAAGCTAGACAATTCAGAAAATTTTGACGGAAAATCCACTTACTACTGCTTTCTATAGATACCTACAGTAAACTTGAAACAAAGAAGGATACAGATGCATTGTCACCTGTGAGGATATCACAGAAAACACTAAAGCAAGAATGCAAACTCTGCATTTGCGGCAGAAAAAAATAAGAGGATAGTATCTAACCAAACGGACAACAAAACTTCCAGGTACGCTACTGTATACGCTACGCATGTTTTAACAGCTCGTTACTTCACCTAGTGGGGAAGTGGCATACTACTATTGCAACATTATTGTAACTAATGCTAACCCATGCATAGTATATTTAAGCTATAAAACAAAGATTTTTTTCCGATAGGAGCAATGATAAATAAACCCGGAAAAGTTTTAAAACCTTTTTTGTAAAACTTTTAATTGCCAACGTTTCCTAACAGTTTTTTCATTGAATGTGAAATTTTTCAATAATATATATTTTTTATTCGAAATGAAATCGCAGTGGATATTAAGTTCAAGTGTTGGACACACTACGGTTTGGCAGACCGAAATTTTCATTTAAAGCAAGTTTTTTCGCATCTTGTTGTCAGTCTAAATTTAAAATTAAGTTATTTTATATAAATATAAAGAAATATAAATTAATGATCCTCGTTTTTTATGTTTTTTTTTCAGTAAAAAGTCCTTTCAGAAATACCAAAACTATATACCAAAACAAAAAGAGCTTGGTGAAAGTTGATGTATCGCTTTCATGGGTGATTACTTTGATTAACGGAAATAAAATGTATAAAAAGTTTAAGTTAACTTATTTCATAAAAAACGGCAATTTCAATGTAAAATCCTAATATTGCCTCATGTGGAAAGGGCTGTGCTCGTGGTTACTCGACGTGATAAACTTCGAAATGAGGATATCCGCAATAGAACCAGAGTGACCGACATAACCCAATTGCTCAACGGATTTGGCAGCCTCGTACCGGTAGGCGTAGTGTATGGCGGCCCCCCACTAGATAGAGTGACGACGTGTAAGACATGCAGAAATTCGATGGATGCAGGTTGCTCAGGATCGTGCTTTGTGGCATTACTTGAGGGAGGCCTATGCAGTGGATTAGTGAAGAGCCGTAATGATGATGATGATGATGATTATAAATTATAATATAGTTAATTGCAAAATGAGTAGTTTTTATAATAGACATTATATGGCTACTAGAGGGACGCCAATGAGATACTAGGCTAGCCTGGGGCGCTGTCGACATTTAATCTGCCTCTGCCTCCTACTGGAACTTCTCGAAGAGTAGAACTAGGTGTGCCGAGTTTGGCCTCGTTTTGTTTAGTTATGATGAGTCCCTACCTCGGAACTTTATAGAGTGACCTGAAGGTGTAATTTGGTGAATGATACCGGAACTCCTCGAAGATTAGAACTAGGTGTACCGAGTCTGGCCTCATTTTGTTAGTATTGATGAAATATATATATATATATATATATATATATATATATATATATATAATTATTTTTTTTTGACGTTACAATTGTTTCCAAATTTCGCATGCAAATTATTTAGAAAATGCCAAATTGCACACTAGTTACGAATAAATATGTATTAAATTAAAACGATTTTTTAATGATGATCTTGAACATTAATCAAAAGTCTAAAATTTGTAAATTTACTCAGTCTGTCAACACAGCAAATTGGTTTTGTAGTAGTGATAATACGACGTAATTGCTTGTATGTGTGCTCCCGACGACACTGAACCTCGTACAAAATAAGGTTGACAGCCATTCTATTGTGTATTATATTACTCTATGGCTGCCTTGTAAAGTACAACGACGTATCACTATCACTTCTGTTTAAAAGTAAATTGCACGCTACATTAACAACACAAGTGCTAGTGCTATTCACTAGTACAGTGCTTTAAAACCCCGATCCTTGATTTTTATTTTACATTGATGGGACGCTTTTATTTCTTTTCGTTACTATACATTACAGATTATAATATAATATTATAATTTCAGTTTAATTAGTATCTAAGATAAAATAAGTACTGTTAGATTCAACTTTTCAAACATATGTGGGGACAAAACACGAATGAGTATCGGACGACTGCTGAGATTAATGGCTTGACTACTTGGCTAATGCATCGCCTGGTCTTAGGGTCGTTTTGGTCATTTGTTGGTTTTCGGATATGTATGTGCTGCTGTTTATCTGTTTCCCTAAAATTTTCTGATATATTTTAGTTTTATGTGTTGTTTAATATCCGAAAGATTTTAATTTAATAATTTACTTGTGTCTTTTGCAGTGACAAGACTACCTGTCCAACATATAAAAATTAATACTGTACGTTCTTTTGAATGTCTTGCACTAAAAATAATATATTTTGATAGTTAAGTTTCAAAATTATAAGCTATGAGTCATCGTCCCGTTCACTGTATGATGACAACATAAGAGAATCCAATAGTTCATTTCTAGCCATTCCTTCATGAATTTTTTTAAAGAATAGAGTGACAAACGAGCACATAGTCCACCAGATGGTAAGTGGTTGCTGCGGCCCATAGTCATCTACATCTATCCTCCATTACAAATCAAAATGCAGATGCGTTGTCACCCGTGAGGACTGAGATGGAATGCCTCGTTCCAGTAAAAAGGATCTCCGGTTCTCTACACTCACCATACGAAATACAGCAGCATTAAGCTACCATTTCACGCTGGTATTCTGTGAGAGCGTGGTGCTTCCCCGGTCGAGCCGACCCACTTGTACTACAACTATACTACTAATATAACTACAGCATGGCTCTACCACGTAAAAAACTTGTTAAAGTCTTCATGTCTTATTATAAGTCTACGACATATGTGACACTGTGACGTCAGAAATCTTTGCAACACACCCTTATACGATTCATCATTCATCATTACAGCCCTTCACAAGTCCGCTGCTGAACATAGGCCTCCCCCAAGTAATGCCACAAAGCACGGTCCTGGGCCACCTGCATCCATCGACTTCCTGCATGTCTTACCGGGTCGTCACTCCATCTAGTGGGGGGTCGCCCTACACTACGCCTACCAGTACGAGGGTGCCACTCGAGAACCTTTCTTCCCCATCGGTTATCGGTTCTTCGATCTATATGGCTGGCCCATTGCCACTTCAGCTTACTAATACGTTGGGCTATGTCGGTCACTCTGGTTTTACTGCAGATATCCTCATTTCTGAGTCTATCACGCAGAGAAACTCCGAGCATAGCCCTCTCCATAGCTCGCTGAGCGACCTTGGGCGTCATCATACGGCCAGCAGTGAAGGATCACGTCTCTGATCTTATACGGCCGTGATAGATCTTATACATATGGCCGTGTAGTGGCGGTTGAGCATATCCACTACCCCATATCTTCCCGTGGGTGTCGTAAGAGGCCACAGAGGGAGATAGGCAGGAGGTGGGCAGCGGCATCTTCCTGATAACAACAGTGATATAATAAAAAAAACTGCGGTTGCCAACCAGTTCGCCAAGCGTGGCAACTATGGCAATATACACCCCATGAGAGTACCGTCATGGACGCCTGTCCTGAGATACATAGTTATTGAGTCGGAAGAGTTTATGTAAATTTAAAATTATTTGGACGTTGTTTAAGTCAGAATTTTTGTGCAAAAGTTAAACATCTGTGTACTGCGAATCTTCTATGGTGTGGATACATTAGAGTGTTTAGTGATTAGTGAATAAATAGTAAAAAAACAACATATACATATTAAAACATTTTATTTTTAAATGTAATCGAATAAAATTTAATAACATAATACCGTCATATAATACTGATCAACACAGCTCCATCTCACGCTTCCGTTGTGTACTAATAAATCAACGCATAATTTAGCTTTATCAACTATTAAAATTTATTGATCATGGCAGTTAAGTGCAGTGCATGCGGTAAATACATGTCTCCGCAAGATGGCGCTAATGTTACTTGTACAAAGTGCAATAAACAGCTACATCGTGCGTGTGTAAGCATCGCAGTAGGCGCTTTACTAATGCCATCCTGGGCTTGCCCTGAATGCAAATTGAAAGAAAAACGTTGCAACAAGGACACAACGCCGGTAAAATCCGCAACAATGACTGTTGCTAATTCGAGTGAGGTTTCAAACCTCGGGGAGGAATCGCGATGTTTCCGAGAAGAAATGCGGCAAACCCGCGAAGGAGTTCGGGCATTCAGAGAAGAACTTCTGGACATAAGAACCCTTGTCAGCAAATACGATGCTCGTTTAGATAAGCTCGAGAACACGGTCCAAACTATCCTGGAATCACAAGAGCAATATGGGTCTCAAGAATTCAAAATTGAAATCCTAAAACTCGAGTCGACCGTCAATCCGTCTGCAAGCCGACTTAAACGATAGGGACCAGGAGTTGCTTGCAAATGACGTCGAATTAAGTGGCATTTCTGAGTAGAGTGGGGAGAACCCAACACACTTGGTTCTATCAGTTGTGACCAAGCTTGGTGTTCATTTGGAGGAAAAGGAACTGGTCCATTGTATGCGAGTAGGGGGCGCCCGCCAGGATGTCACATCTCGTCCGCGGCCCATCGCTGTGCGGCTGGCGCGGCGCGACGCGCGTAACGACGTGCTGCGCGCTGCGCGCGTCCGCTGGTCTCTAACAACCGAGGCTCTAGGTCTTGTTTATTTATTTTATTTATTTATTTATTTGTCAAAATAAGGTAATACATAATGGTCTTAAATCTAATACAGAAGTTCGCTTATTCTGCCTCTTTTATAGGCGTACAAATATTAAATCGTCTTAATTTAATTTCGACATAAAATTTTAATACAAAACTATAAAAAATTAATTATGGATAAATGTTATACAATTATGGATAAATGTTATACAAACAAAATTAGTTATTGAAATATTCAGAAAGACTATAAAAACACTTGCTGAGAAGCCATTCTATCAACTTTCGTTTAGACGTTTGACTTGTTTCATTCTTTATTGTGTCTGGCAGACGATTGTATACACGGATTGCCATGTAGTAAGCATTCCTGTTAAAGAATGAGGTGCCTGATTTAGGCAAGAATAATTTATTTTTGTTCCTAGTATGCCTCTGTGTTACATCAAACTGTTTTATAAATAAATTTAAATTTTGTTTTACAAACAAACAGATATCCCTCACATACATACACGGTAAGGGAAGAATGTTTAATTAATTAAAATGGGATCTACAACTCTCACAGCACCCCAAATTACATACAGCGCGAATACATTTTTTTGTACTACAAATGCTTTCTGGCTATCGGTAGAGGTCTTTATGGAGTTCTCGCGGGTGTGATTAAGATCCCTCCGCTCGCTGATGCTTGCCATGACCGAGCGATGCACTTATTTAATTTCTTTTTACTTGTTTATAGGAATTTCGTATTTATGCACATAGATTTACTAGCTTGTTTAACGTATTACTTAAGTACAATTTTTAGAGCGAAGCGACAAACGTCCGCTCGCGTTGCGTTCTCGGACGAAAGAGGTTTGCACGTTTAACGCTAAAAGCAACCCCTTTTTCGTATCTCTTCAGTTTCGAAGCACTCCCCTTGTCGTCTCAGCCAGTATCGGAATCCTCGACGTCGACATATTAAAGGATGTGTAGTTTTGTGGTCACCTGAACGAAAAGGCTTCATTGGTCTCTACAAAACACGGCGTGCTCGGCAGATCGGGATATTATTTCATGCCGGCACACCACCTGAAACTTTACAAGGTGCAGGTTCGGCTGCACATTGAGTACTGTCTCTGGACTGAGACTCCCCAGTGCCAGCTACTTCCATTTGACCGTATCCGGCTCAGAGTAGCTCGAATCGTCGATGACAGAGTCCTCTCCGATCGGTTCGTTAACCTGGAGCTGCGAAGAGATGCTGCATCTCTGCGTTTTCAATCGCATCTACTACGTTCTGAAAAATTGTTCAGTTTAATTCCTGTCGCCAAATTTCATGAAGGCACATCGCAACAAAACTCACGATACCATCCACATGACCTGAATACTTGGTACCCTCTGTGAAATAATTTACCACCGCTGATTTTTCCACACCGGTACGACTTAGGGACCGTCAAGAAAAGAGATTACTCCTTTCTAAGAGGCCGGCAACGCACCTACAATCCCCCCAGGTGTTGCATTTGTGCATGAACGGCGGTAGTCACTTTCAATCACGTGAGCTGCATGCTCGTTTGCCTCCTGTTCTGTTAAAAAAATTCTAGGAAAAGCATAAAAGTAATCAACGAATTTTAATTTTGACAACTACACTTTTTCACAGACTGTGCAATGTACTAGAGTTAACTGTGTAGTGACAAGTTCGACCCGTGAGCGATGTAAAAGGCTGCTACCGGTAACGCCAGAACAATGTTGTGGCGTTGTGCCAGGCTTGGCAATTCAGTTCTGGAGGCGGGTAGCAACGCCAAAGGTGCGAGGCGTCTGGTAATGTGACTGTCAATTCGTCTGGCAAGCGTGAAGATTGAGCCGAATCTTTCCCCTTTTTTTGCCGCCATTGAGCCGATTCTATAGCGTATGTATAATTTTTTTTTATAATTCCGACGTTTCGTGTACTTTAAAATATCTATGTTCTCGACAGAGACTTTGTGTTTGACGTCACAATGTCACCACGGCTACCTTCAGTTTAAAATTATTAATATTTTGTCCGATCAGTAGCAGCAGTCTTGGAGTTGTATGCTTGAGTTGAAATTAATTTTATTAATTATAGGATGCCATGCAGATGGTAGCACCCAGTCAAGCCATTAATTGCAAGGCTCAACACTTACACTATTTAGTTTAGTATCGGAAGCATTTTACAATAATAGTTTATGTATTAATTAACAAAACTATTCTATTCGTAGTAAAATACATATTACGCTCAGAATGGACGACTATAAATATTATAATTATTAAGAAAGCCTACTGACTACTCAATTAGGTATTTATCTAATATATAAAGATTAATATTTGTTTGATCGCATTTTCTTCGCTGCCTGCCGTTCATCAGATTTCGCCTAAACTTTTCCAACTTAAGGGGAAATATAACCTCAAATGGCTTAGCAAGATCCTCCGTTATGCCGAAAGTATTGCAGCATTAATTTTGAAATAAATATATGGTAAAGTTGAGGATTAATGTTAAGGTTTATGTTAGACGAAAACACGATTCCGTAAAATTTTCTCTATAGAAAAAAAAATCCAAAGTTACCTCCAAACTGAACAATAAACCGCTGTTATTCATAAAATACTTTAAATAAGATCATGAAACTTTGCATACTATCCTGTCGCTCCGCAGGAACCAAGCTTACGCGCCGATAGTTTAGGTAATTTCTTTTTACAGTGAAAATAATGATATTTAAAAAAAAGTAAATAACATAAGCACTGCTTTATGGTTAGTTCAGTTAGTATGCAAAGTCGTTTGAGAGTTAGTATGTAGAGTCTGTTTTTCTCTTTCGGAGAGTAAACTCCACTCCTAGATGTTGATGTAGGATGGTATGAATGCTCCCCGAACTAATGCCTACAATCCTTTCGATGTCCGTATATGTGATTCGTGGGTCTTTTCGCATCAAAATTTCAGTAGTCCATACATTTTCTGCGATTACTGCTGTTTGTTAGTAATCTGAAGTGGCAATGGGTCGGCTGTATAACTCGAAGAACCGACAACCGTTGGGGAAAAAAGGTTCTCGAGTGGCAGCCTCGTACCGGTAGGCGAAGTGTAGGGCGACCCTCCACTAGATGGAGTGACGATCTGGTAAGACATGCAGAAAGTCAATGGATGCAGGTGGCTCAGGGCCGTGCTTTGTGGCATACCTTGGGGGAGGCCTATGTTCAGCAGTGGATTTGTGAAGGGCTGTAATGATGATGATGATGATGACTGCTGTTTGCGGGGCCCCGGTTATTTGGTCATCTTTAAGGTTAAAGTTACTTCTTTTGAATTCAGCAAACCACCTAAAAATTGTTCGCGTAATGGCGCTAATTCTTGTGACCGTGATAAACTTAATTGTTCGGTGAAACCAAATATTAAAATCATAATAGCGTGAAAATCTTCATGTTTTAGATTTAACGTTTTAAATGAAAAAAGCGCAGAAAGCGTTGCAGGAAAATTAATAGAACTTTTTTTTTTTAGTATTTAGGAATTGGCTTATAGAGTTCTACTTTTAAATAAATTTGATTTTAGGAAACATATATATAACACGGGTGCGTTCCGTTTTTAAATTTCGAGCATCTCAAAACTTATTGAGTGTCCTACGTAATACTGGTATTAGAAATTGTAGGATAAATAGAAATATTGAAATAGTAATTTTTCATAAATTAGAATTTGTTAATAAATATTTAGAAGAAGATGTGATGTATGGTCCAGGTCAGCCACAAGTCATGATCCCATCGCGTCACTGTACTGGATGGATCTTTAATTTACGAAACCTATATAACACTATGAGTCCAATTAGAATAACTTTTAATAATAAACTTTTAATGATTTAATAATAAATGTTTCATAAAATATTTATTAAAAACTTAACGTAAGAGATCGGGATTTGAAATCTGTATTTCAGATATCCTTATTCAACTCTATGAGATACACAATATACTTGTTCTGCAGTGAAATACGTATATAATTTGTACAGGATTGTTCAGTTCATTAAAATTTCTTATAATATATTCACATTTTTAATACATAAATTCAAAATGCTTTGATCACCATCAAACATAGTGATCAGGCTTAATAAATCTTTAGGAATGATTTAAACAGAGGGATTCCACCTTCTTGTTCAATTTTTATTAAAATATTTCAACAATTCAATCTATTTTTAAATTAGCGTCTTCTGTAACATTATACTTCATAACATGTTTTCAGTAATCCAATAATCGACACAATTCGTGGTCAACATGTTATTGTAAAATGATGACTAATTGCAATTATCATGTTTACGAGTGATCTAATATCAAAGGCTTAATCGGGACTATTTAGGATCAACAGGTATTAAGGCTATAGAAATTATAGCCTGTCATAAAATATTTAAACGTTTATTTTTCAATGTTATTTAAAATTTATACAAAAATTTACTATTGGGTAAATTAGCGTTTCCCTTTTGCATAAATAAGAATACTTTATAGCGAACGTGTTTTCAGTGTTTAATGTTTTCGGTTGACTTTATATAAAAAAGCTGAATTTTCCTTCACATCATATCTCAGACAATATAATTTGCAATGCAATTTTGTTGTTTGTCGGTGCTGAAATAACTAATGTAACTGTTAGTTAAATAGATAATGTGCACTGCTAATAAATTTGCTGACTAAAATGTTCTCAAAAATAGAAACTTAGCAAGTTGTTAATAATTATTTATAAAACTGTAGAGCTCTTAGATTGCAATCTTTCATGACGAGGAGAGAACA